ATCCTTGAGCATTTTCCTTTCATTTCACAATGTCTATCATACCTCCAAGTTTTATTTCTAGTGCCTTGTTCAACAAGATAGCCAAAGCATTATTTCTTGATTTGTTGGTTTTATCAACTATTAAAAAAAGGTGTTTGAAAAAAGTAATTAAAAAAAACCTTACCAAAGCAAAATATATGAAAAGTAAAAGATAAAAAATGCTAAAAATGCTTTTTTGTTGAGTCTTAGATTTCTCAAAAGTTCTATATTGCCAAAGAAAATTAAATGAAAATTTAATCAATAATTTGTAATTAAAAATATCTCCTGACTCTCTCTTGTACTTTGGGTTGTAGAATGAGAATGTACCCAAATGACTTAAAGGATAGATCAGTCTTTAAAATATTGCTTATGTAACTTGGCTCTATAAAACACGTCTCCAATCCAGTTTATGGCTCTCATTCCAAGGAAAATGAAAGCCAGCCAAATATCTTTCTATAAATATCTAAAAAGATAATTTAGAATGCCAATCTACGGACTTGAAATACCTAGACTGCCTGGAGCCACACTTTTAAATCTTGAAGATATTAATTGTCCAAAAGTTTTTAATTATGCTTTTTTGATGTAAGAGCTATTTATATTTTCTTTGACTTAAAACTAACATAAGGATGTTTTGATTTATCTAGTGTTGTATTTTTGACCAATAATCAGTGCCCCATGTCATTATATAATAGACATTTTTAAGTTGAATTATGAGAAACCTGTTTAAAGAATATAGGTAATAGATTGGATGAAGTGGTTTAGTAATTTAAAGCAGTAACTGACCTCACACATTGTAAACAAAAAAGTGTTTTATCATGTTTTGAAGAGATAATTTGATAATTAGTTTTAGAGTAAAAATAAGTTAAGAATTCATCCCCCAACTGTGGGAAGAAACAAATACTATTTTTTTTCATACCAATATTTATTTGGGGGAAGGGATGTCACCATCCATTTAATAATTGACAGGAAATAGAAACATGCTAGATTTTTACCAACAGAAATGTATAGTTTGGAAAATAAATAATTATAGTAAAGCTATATAAAGCATTTGTTGTGCCTCTGATACAACTACATTCTTTTATTTCCTCCTTCTTTTCTTTTTTTACAAAATGTACTGAAATCAGAAAAGCTTAGTGTATGTTTTCATAAACCTAATTTTGTCCTGGAATTTTAAATTCAGAACACATGCGTTCTGGCGTTAATGCTTTATGGAGCGTTTCAAAGGTGAAATTTACTCAAGATCCTCTGTGAACATGTTTCTTCTATTAAATTAGATTTTCAGTTTCTGAAGTGGTCGAGTTTTATGACAGCAAGACGTAGAAAGAATGAAGAGCAAATACAGAGAGGAGAGCAGCAACATTTGTTGAAAATAAATGAGAGACGTGATTACAGTTTCAAGGGCCAATTTACTGAACAAGCCAAATCAAAACCAGAAGTTTTTGTGAGAGGCAGAGTGTTTAGATTGCTTTTAGGCAACACTGTCAGGGAGGTGGACATTTTTACAGTGGAGCCTAAGAAACAAGTTTCAAATCACTTAAATCCCCCCATTTAGCTCAAATATCCAGGGCAAAATTCTAATTGAGGTCTTGGTTTTGCATGGGAATCTATGGGGCAAAAACTGGCTGGAAAATATGAACTGTTTTGGGTAAATAATAGCTTCTTTAATTATTATTGAATGTGGTATTTATACTTTTGGACTTGGAAACTTATTAAGATAACTAAATAATCACTAAATCTAAAAAGAATAAATATGAAAGAGCTAGTGGTGAAAACAGGAAACTAATTACAGTATTTCTGGGCACTAATTTTGTTATAATTTTTATTGTTATCACAAGCCTTAAAATATTATCTATTTTTCAAAATAATTTTTGTTATAAAATTTTAATTTTGTTAATCATTAAATGGATAGTAATGTCCCTTCCCCCAAGTAAATATCAGTTATGCACATTTATTTTAGAAAACTTGGAAAATGCCGCCAAATACAAAAAGAGGAAATTAGTGTCAACCATGACCTCAGATAACCATGAACAATATTTTAGTTTTGCATCCTGAAAATACTTTCCTGTACATTATTGTATATATAGTTTATGCAAGGTAACATGTGGACTTCCCCCTGAATGCTTTCACTTTATGAAATCTCAAATTCTTAATCATGGTGATAAATCCGATACATGATATTAAGAAGAAAAGATACATTTATATCCTTTTCAGAATTTCCATCTGGATTAACATTTTAAGAAAAAAAGTTCATTTCTTTGTAACTAAATTTCACTTTATCCCCAGCATGTTCTAAACCTACTGTATAAGTATAAAATCTAATACTTACATGTTGCACTGAAGACTTATTTAATATCTTTAAAGGTCAGTAGGCTAAAATATGGTATGTTTTAATTAAGTAAGTATCATTTTAGAGTACACAAAAATTCTTTTCTACTTTCCAGTCATCTTGTTGAAGTAGCTATGCTTCACAGATTTAAATTACATGATTTTGCTTTAATTTCTGTCCCCCAAAATAGGTATTCACACATTGTTTGTAGAAATTATTTTGTTACCAGAGTGACACTGCAATGTACAGTATCACTGCACCTGTCATAAATCACCTATGGTAGCTTTGGAACTTCACTGAAATTATTAGTTTTATCACATTCCTCATGTGCATTAGTGGACTGAAATACACTGGAGGCTCAGTGATAAACAGAGGTGTGGCAACTGACACACACAGGTGAAACCAGTGTTTGAATAATAAGAAGGTAGTTCATGCAGGCAACTGGTCATCCCTAGTTTGGTGCGAGCCAGAGTTTGGAATTGATCCCATTCTCTAACTTCTCTTTTTTGGTTTTTAGTGCCCAGAGCAGGACACCTTTGGAAGTATGGCCTCATCATCAATAACCTCTCATGCTGGTAAGATGTCCGCCTATCTGCCAGCAAAGCAGGAACTGCAAGACCTGTGCCCCTGCCTTCCAAGCAAGGTATGCCAGCTCTGGTCTGTGCCCATGGGAAAGGCACTACAGACAACCGACCAGGCTCCGTGACTGGTGCCTCTTGGGAAAAGCATGTGTCTTGTCCTTTGGTGCTAGTTGAATAAAATTCCTAAGCCATGCAAGCACCAGAGTGATTTACAGAAAGGAGTTGGAGGTGGAATTTCTTGGACTTTTACCCAGATACTTTCTGAGCCCATATGATCTTTCTTCCATGATGCAAATTAGAATGAATAAAGATAGGAAGGGAGAAACCACTTTGATACAAGCAAACCTTGAGTATTTAATATGTGCCAGGAATGGGCTACAGCTCTGGGAATTCAGAGTTGAAGGAAATACAAAGCCTGTTCTTCAACAAGCATAAACTAGAATACTACAGGTAGTATTTCCTTTCTGCATGGTGACTATATTTGTTCAGTAGCCCAAATTTCCAAAAGCCTCCTCTCTCTAAACAGCTAAAATAACTTGTCTCTTTGGTACTGATACAGTCCCTTGATCAAGAGACTGGGTCTGTGGACCCACGTGAGCCCCTTTTGTGGGTGTTGTGGCTGTCTGGGGGTCTGTGCTTGCTCAGCTGGTAAGCGACATTGTAGAGTGAGTTCCACAGGAAAAGCTCCATGGGGGTGAGAGCAGGTAGGGGAGCAACTCCTGTTCTAGCTATGGAGTCACCTGGAGCAGGATGCTCAGTGGTGTCGGAAACAGTGAGGAATGAGCCTTGTAAAAAAGGGAGAAAAATTGTGGAACCACAGACCTGTGGAACCACAAGCTTGTCTCAGAGGGGAGCAAAGTGTGCCTTCCTATTCCCAGCAGCATATGCCTGTATGTATGTATATGACTTTATATCAGTGTGACAGAACGTTTACTAACACAGACGTTTATCTGTGCCCAGGGAGAAGCAGGATTGCCAGGAGCTCCTGGTTCACCTGGACAGAAAGGGGAGAAAGGAGAACAGGTAAGACGCACAGTACCAAATCCTGCTGGGACACAGCGGCTTATTCAGACGTGACTTATAAGATGTGTCTGTCTCACGCTCCTGTGCCTGGGAAGAATTTATGGATGAGATGGCAAGGAAGCCATGGCTCTGAGTCTGTAATTTTCATCCCATGTTTAGAAATTTGTCCTTCTCTTTCCTCACTTCACTGCAGTGTTTCTCATTCTTTGGAGACATATCTTTTGTTAACTAATCAGGTAAAATGATTTGTGTGAATGTTAGGAGTTGATTATGTCTCTGCTACCTTTCTAAGTAAAATAGATTTTAATTCTTCTCATGCCTTTATTTGGATGTCCGTGATTCTACATTCTTTACATAATCTAGCTTGACTTCTTTTTTAAAAGGCAGGAGTCTAATATCTGAGAAGTGAGTGAGTACTCAAAGTTTCAACTAAATGACAGTTGTTTCACTCTCAAAAGAGTGCCCAGTAAGCTTGCAGGGATCATCAGGCACTTCAGTAGGTGTTAGAGGTGGACCGAAGTGTTTATGATTATTTAAGTCATAGCTCTTTGGGG